AGAATCAGCAGCAGTAGCAGGATTAGGAAGAGTAGTGGTAGCAGCAGCAGCAGCAGGCGTTAGAGTGTTTATCCATCCCTCAAGCAACCAATGACATTAAAAACCAAAGCCCAATGTCAACACTGATGAAGCAACAATAACTTCTGCAACCATAGCATGATACAAAGGGGAAGGGGAAATTACTGCTATCTACAAGCTGGTAAAAAGACAAAGCATGTTACAACAACTAAGCGAATAACACCAGATTATGTGAATAACACCAGAAGCACAATGTGAAGTGAAAAAGACACAGTTGTTTAAAGTGTTTTCTTCACCGTGAGCCAGCGTATTCAGCCCGGGAACGTGCTTGAGTCAGAAAAGTGCGAAGCCCAATGTCTGGATGAGCTGCAGAATTGTACAGAAAAAGGGAATAACTACAAACTAAAGATAAATCATAGAATTAGGAACTGTTGTAGATGTGTGTGGTCTGCTTTCTTTCACATAAACAAGATGGAAGATGTATGACACAGGTTGAATAAATTCATTTATCACTATCAGCCTACCACAGCTCAAGGAAAGTAGAGAATACAGTGCCGATCTGATAAGGAGAACTCACCAGGGACCAGAAATTTCTCTTATCCAGGTAACAATTCAACTGTATGGAAATTCTTTTGTTTCTTCTTCTTCTGCCTTCTATCCCTCAATGGAGAATAGGCCCTCAACCAACGCATGCCAAGACATTCTATCCTTTGTCACTGCATGCAGCTCTCCTCATGTCCTCCCCATCTTTTAACTTCACTCTCTAGCTCTCTTCTCCAAGTGTTTTTTGGTCTTTTCTTATTTCTATGCCCCTGTGCGTTCCAGTGCAGAGACTTTTTAGTTATATAGTTTTCTTAACTTGTGTCCTATCCAACGCCAGCGTCTTTTCTTGATCTCTTGGACCACTGAAACTTGTATAGTTCTCCCCCAAACCTCAACATTAGTGATTTTACCATATCATTTCATTCCCTCTATTCTGTACAGGCAGCAGTTAATAAATGTTTGTAGTTTATTAGCAACTGCCTTAGCTGTTCTCCATGTTTACACTACAAACAACAGTACTGATTTGACATTAGAATTAAAGATTTTAAGTTTAGTCTTAGTTTTAACTTCTTTTGAACTACCCAAATATCCTAGTTCCATGAAAGCTCCTCATGCCATTTGTATTCTTATTTTAATATCTCTAGATGAAGAAGAAGAGGAGGAAGATGAAGACAAAGAAGAAGAAGAGGAAGAAGATGAAGAAGACAAAGAAAAAGAGAAGGAAGGAGGAGGAGGAGAAGAAAAAAGATATTCACAAATTATAATTAGTTCTTCAGTATGACTATCAAAATGTAAGAGTCCATGGCAACATTAAAAAAATAAAAGAGGGTCTGCGACAAATAAAAAAAAAATAAGATTAGGTCCATGACAAACCTTAAAAATATAAGACAGGGCCCACTGCAAACCTTGAAAAAAAATAAGAGAGGTTCCATGGCAAACCTTGAAAAAGAGGGTTTGTGACCAACCTAAAAAAATTAGAGATGGTCTGCGACAAACCTTAAAAAGTAAGAGAGGGTCCGTGGCAAACCTTTAAAAAAAAATAAGTGGCAATCTTTGGCGAGGTTCTGCCCGTCTTGGCTGACTGGGAACACTGGTCTAGGCTCTTATATACAAGGAGGGACAATTTCTTCCATATAAAAATTCTGAAAGTTTATGAAAATGGGTCAGCCACAGAGACATGCTGGTCAAGAAGACTTCCAGTCAAAATAGCCGATAGCTAGCTGACCTCTGACACTCTGAAAAGTTATTTGTTTCTAGCTAGATATTCTTCTTCTTCTTCTGCCTCTGGAATGATTCGTGGTGAGGATGAGATCTCTGGAATGTGTCGTTCTGTTTACTTCGTATAAACTACTTTTTAGTGTCTCTGATATTTCTGTTGTCTATCTTCTGCATGGTCGACCTCTGGGTCTGTTACCACTGTATCTGTATGAAATTACCCTCTGTAGTGCCCTGTCTGGTGCCAATATTGTAACAAGGTCAAAGCATTTGATCTGTTGTCTACCTATAAAGTTCAGTATTGGTTCTGTGTCGACTCTACTCCTGATATCACCATTCCTACGCCGATCTTTCTACGTTACACCTTGCATAGTACATAAACATTTCATTTCTGTTGTGACTATTTTCCTTCGGTTTTCTGAAGACAGGGTCTATCTTTCACACTGATAGCACATCATTGGTAAGAATAATGTGCTGAACAGTGTTCTTTTAGTGTTCATATTCACATGCTTGCATTTCAAAATTGGTATCATTTAGCCTAAACCTTGATTGGCTTTATTACATCTTTGTTGGTTTCTTTTTTAATCAGCTAGGTACTGCCGATACAAATCCCCCATTTCTGGACAGGCAGCCCAAATGTTCCATCGGGCAGCTATTGAGATGAGTGCTTGGTGCGACACAGTGAGCTGTGGATCATGTGGAATGATATTTTGTTTAATGCTGTGCCAGTGGCGTGTTGTAGACTGCACTCAAATGGTGGGTGGTTATTTATATTCAGAATGGCATGTACATCTGTAGTTGCAATGTCAATTTCGTGACGGGCCATTTGCGCCAACAGTGAGCTGCAGCTGTGGTGTGAGACTGTTGGTGTTGGCACATCAGACAGCTGCCATATGCATTTTTACTTTGCATGCGCAAGCTTCAAGATTATGCTTGGACTGAAAAGTTTTTGCCAGTTTCAAATGGGACACTGAAAGACATTTCTGTGCAGTTTTCACTGGCCCAGGAACAGAGATGTTATGCAACAGTAATGTTGAAATCTCCACCAGTGACTAACAACCTGTGAAGAAAAATAATCCTGCCTCTGAGGGAAAAACCAGCCTATAAAAGTAATATTTATATCCTGTGCAACTCTGGTATATACACACATGGGTCACTGACGGTGCGACAGGGTTCATGCACCCTGGTGAGATTCCCCATGTGCAAACTACAGGAGGAGACTGAGACAGTAATGAAGATATATGCGTTCAATGCCAGTGATCCTCTACAAAGAACATCCAAACCAAACCAAATCAAAACTGCAATAACCCCACACACATCATAATTCAATTTACTAAAAGAAAAAAAAATAAATTAGAAAGGTTAAAATCAAACATGAAAAACAAAAATGAGTATAAAAACGTTCTTACAAATGGTTAGAAACAGTAAACCGACTTACTTAAATAACAGATAATGGTTGAGATAAATATTATTTAATACTGTAGATCAATTAGCCAAATGAAAAAAAAACCAAGGTCATAACAGTTAACTCTTTTCGTCCCAGGGAGTTTAGCATCAGAGGAACAAGAGACAGAAAAGAGAGGGGTAAAATCGATGCATCCTGCGTTCACTGGTCTGAAAGATAAGTGTTTAGAAGGGCCAAATGTATACGTGCCTTAGGATGAAAGAGTTATAAGGATTGGAAAGCATAAACAGACTTGCTCAGATAAAGGATAGAAGTAAGACAAAAATGGTCAGATATTGTAAACTAATTTGGTCAAAGAATAAATCATAAAAATGTTCGCTAAACAGTAAGTAAAGTAAACAGTAAGTAAAGTAAACAGTAAGTAAAGTAAACAGTAAGTCAAGTAAACAGTAAGTCAAGTAAACAGTAAAAGACCCTTTCTCCATGCCTTCAGTCGTATTGGGCATATAGGGCTAGACCTATATTTTATAGGCGAATCGGAACTCGGTGGGTGATGTGGTCAACGTGACATCGGCCATCTTTATACTTCTTATGACTGTACCCATTTAAGGCTTGGTCGACCTGGGAGTCAAGGAAATTTTTTTTTAAAACGTCAGGGTCCGTCAGTACACCAGCTTACTAAATGGCAAGACAAAACAGATAGAAAACAGTAAATTATTTTTCTCAAAGACAAGACACAGCAGACAGAAACAGTCAACAAGCTTACCCAATGAAAAGACAAGACAGATAGAAATAGTAAATAAGCTTACTCAATATTATGACAGACAGAAAATAGTACATCAGCTTACAGACATGAGACAATTAGGAAATAGATCGTCAGATATATTAAATCAATTCACTCAACAACAACACACACACACAAAACAGAAACATGATTAGGTTACACATAGTCAGAAATAGTAAATCAATTTACTCACTAAAATACCCTCCAAGTGAGTATAAACATTAACAAGCGAAACATCAAAGTTGTTTAAAATTTAAGCCTAGAAATAAAACCGAATAAAATAAAAAGGGTAAAAACCTTAATCGAGACGGCCAAAGAACTGAAAACAGCAAAACAGGACAAATTAAGTCAATGGCTAATGTGGCTTCTTGAGAAGGTGTGGGCTGAAGTGTGTGTGAGTGTGTTTAGGTGTGGGCAAGTATGTTGGTGTGGGTATGGATGGTCATGTGGGTATGGGTGCATATGTGTGTGTGTGGGTTCATGTGTGTATGGCTGTGTAAGGGTGGGTGTGTGAGTTCAGGTGTTGGTGGGTGGGTGCTCATGTTCATATGTATGTGTGTGTGTATGTGTGGCTGTATGTGTGGGTGTGTGTATGTGTGGCTGTATGTGTGTTGAAGTTAAAACAAAAGAATATTAGAGCAAGCTGTAAAACAAAGCAGCCCTCCAAAACAAAGCCGGTCCCACTACATGCAAGTGGAAGGCTGCAGTGTTCTTGTCCATCAAGCTCAAACAACAGCATGGCAAAATCAAAGAAAATGGTGATGTAAGATATGTATACGGATGTGGGTATAGGTTGAAGATAATGTATAGGGATGTGGGTATAGGTTGAAGATATGTATAGGGATGTGGCTATAGGTTGAAGATATTCATTAGGGCTGCAGGTTCAATATATGGGAATTAGCACAACGTTTTATTAAAAATAGGTACAGGAAAGAGAGTATAGTTTATGAATGAAAAAGCAGATGCAAGAGATAGGAAGGATGACTGCTTCAATGGGGCAACACATTGACAAACATCCCAACAGCACTGACTGACCTGGCGTGGGCGTGGCGGGCTCATTCTGCAGCATGGAGCTGTACATGTTGAGAACCACATGCAGACAGCACAGGATAATGGGGCCAATAAGGGCACCTTCCAGTCCCATGAACAGCATGCCCCCTGCGATGGCTAGACCAGTCACATAAGGGTGGCTCCTGTAAGAGAGTACAACAGTTGGCTAGACCAGTCACATAAGGGTGGCTCCTTAAGAGAGTACAACAGTTGGCTAGACCAGTCACATAAGGGTGGCTCCTGTAAGAGAGTACAACAGTTGGCTAGGCCAGTCACATAAGGGTGGCTCCTGTAAGAGAGTACAACAGTTGGCTAGACCAGTCACATAAGGGTGGCTCCTGTAAGAGAGTACAACAGTTGGCTAGACCAGTCACATAAGGGTGGCTCCTGTAAGAGAGTACAACAGTTGGCTAGGCCAGTCACATAAGGGTGGCTCCTGTAAGAGAGTACAACAGTTGGCTAGACCAGTCACATAAGGGTGGCTCCTGTAAGAGAGTACAACAGTTGGCTAGACCAGTCACATAAGGGTGGCTCCTGTAAGAGAGTACAACAGTTGGCTAGACCAGTCACATAAGGGTGGCTCCTGTAAGAGAGTACAACAGTTGGCTAGGCCAGTCACATAAGGGTGGCTCCTGTAAGAGAGTACAACAGTTGGCTAGACCAGTCACATAAGGGTCTCTCTCTCTCTCGCACACACACACTGAAAGAAGAAAAAAAGACACCCATAATTTGGAGGGTTGGGGGGGGGGGGGGGTGTAAGGTTATGAGAAGAGGGAAACTGGGACAATTTGTGACCACAGGAAAGACTTCCGGAGAGAGAGAAGAGGATAGAGCATAGACAAAATGTGAAGATTACTGACAGCCTCGTGTCACTGCAAGGAGAGGTGTCAGCACAAGAAATGATACATGCTACCGAAGATCATAGGTTGTGGTAAGGCATGATCGCCTATGCCAGGCGGCAAAGCACCTGGTAATATAAATATGTCATTGTGTCATGACATTCACTTGGTGTCATATTGTCTGTCCCTCAAAAAACAATCATTCATTCAGTGTCACACTGTCTGTCATTATAAGAAAAATGTTTCTTATCTATTAAAATTTACCTGGGCACGCAGGAGTAGATGGTAATGAAAGAGCTGACCAGCTGGCAAGTAATGCATCAATGTAAATGGGAAGAAGTACGAACAGAGCTGAAATCATCAAAGCTTTACGAACTAGGTAGGGGGATAATGGCAAATCTCTGATGCTAACACAACTGCATGACCGAATAGTTCAAATTGGTGAAGCACGACTATGCCATCTTCCAGGTAAAGACGGGAAATACTATAACCAACTCCTCCTGGGAACAAATCAGGAGAGGTACCTTGGAGTGGCTGCTGCATCGGAGGACTGAGCCAGCATGGAGATGCCCAATGTGCAAAGACAAGGATTGTTATAACATAACATATCTATTTAAATATGATAAATACACATTATTTCTACATTCATGGGAACAACATGCCATGGACCATGCTGCACTGAGGGAGAAGATCAGGACAGCAATGGAGAAAAAAAAATATTGCAGAAAGGTTGAGAGCTGATGACAAATAACTTTCCTGAAACCCCATGCTCTAACTGTGGAAGAATATTTTTAATGTGTGAGGGTCTTGCTGGGCAGCGAGTCGCATGGCTCCTCATAGCACAATAAAACACTAGCGTCTGGAAAGTCTTGCTAGTCACATTTGCCTTCACCATTGGCAGTGAATCCCAAGCCTCCTCATAGCACAATTTAACACCATCATCTAGAAAGACGGAAAGATGCCAACAATAACAACAACAACAGCACATACCCTTCAATCTCCCTATAGATTGCTGTGTCCACAATATATGCTGGGGCCATGTGGGCGAGGAAGAGCAACAGGGCACTCAGACCATCGTCCTGGACAAGCCAGAGTTCAAAGACCGCTGGCAGCGCCGCCCAGTATGGACCGAGAAAGGGGACAGCAGCAAAACATGCGGCCAGGGCTAGTAAATGAAAAATAAAATCATGAGGATGAGGATGGAGACAAAAATGATATCTTAACCATTTTTATGAGTCTTCTTCTCTTTCTCCTCCTTTCTCTTCCTTATCCTCTTTCTCCAGCTACCTGATGGAAGTATTGGGGGAATGGGGGAGGATTTTTTGTATGCTTTTTCTAATATGTTGCATTCTTCTTCTTTCTTCTTCTTCTTTCTGTCTTTAACATTCACCGGCTGTAAAATCCAGTGGAAAATTCTGGCTGTTAGTCAGTCCACTTCCAGACTTAGGTCTTGCTTCAGAACTTGAGGTCTGTGTGCATATCCGTTCTACAGATCTGGCAAATTTGTATGTAAACTGTTGGTTCCTTGCCTCTCAGGCAGATGCATTCTAACTTCAAAGGCAACACTCCTAATTAGCGAGTTTTAAAAAATGCTTGTTGATGGGCAGCATTTCCCCCCTCGAAAACAAGGCCCCAGAAACCACACGGGGAATATGTCACAAAAAAGATGATCTTAATTTTGTTAAGGCTAGTTTTGATGCCGTCATTCCATTATTAAGTAGCTTTCCTCTGGATCAATGTTCATGATATCTGTCCAAACAATTTTATCTCTTGCTCTTTATTGAGCTACATCAGTTATTTCCAACCTGGGGGTTGGGGATGGGGGGGGGGGGGGGGGCGACACATGGGGACATGAGGAAGTTTCAAAGAAAGGAGGGGGGATGGGGTGTCAGGCAATTCTTAGATTGAGTACATTTGTATTTGTAATCAACTGGATTTTCAACTTTAACAGTCATGAAAACAAAACAGCGTTTCAAGCTTGAATTGCAGAGTGCACATCATCAGACCGAAAATAGCAGATACCAGCAAGACAAAACAGTGAAGACCATCACACTGAGATTTGGACACTAAATTACCAGTTATGTGATGATTATTTCTTGTGTCATTTGATTTCTCCAAGTTCTTGTTAACAGTTCTTGTGATTTTTCTTTTCGTCTTCCTCTTTTAAATCACATTTGTAAATTGGAAAAAAAAAGGAGTGAAGGGAAGCCATATACTGTTTATGATGTGTGTATATCATCAGTGTGCGTGTAACTGTGTCATGTATGTGCTTGTGTGTGTCTGTGATGTGCCAGTATTTTTTGCATGTATTTTTGAAGGTAAGCATTTGTCATCAACGCTTATTTTTTTTTTTTTTTTTTTACTTTACATTCATACTATACATTTTGATGTATAAATAGAATATGTTTGATAAATAAAATACAACTGCCATATGAAACATGAATACTTGGAAGGGCTGAATACTAGGCAGGCCTGCATGCCCAATTTGTAACCCTTTGAAGTTTGTTTGTTCGTTCAAGTTACAAATTTATGGCTTGCATTTTTGTGTTAATTATTTTTCTTCACACCAAAACAAGTGTTCTGGTCCCTTGTTAGTGTGCTGCAATGTGTGCTGGTTAGTGTTCACAATGTTAAATGTTCAAAATATAAAAATTAAACACTATACACTTCTAAATGTCAATGGACATGTAGAAACAAAAGGAAAGGTGTGCAACAACATACCTGAAGATAGATGTGTAACAACATACCTGAAGGTAGATGTGCATCAACATACCTGAAGGTAGAAACACAATATCAAGGCCGAAAATCAAATGGATAAGCCAGGTGTAGAGGCCATAAAATGAAGCCATCTTCAAGGACGCCTTGAAGACATTACTGGAAAAGAAAAAAAGGCAGATCACTTTGTGCGAGTTAATTTCTGTCAAGATATCATAAAGCTTTTCATCTTTCCTCTATGGAAACCATAGTGGCATAGCGACTAGTCAACTGCTTACTGGCCTGAAGGTTTTGGATTCAAATCTGCACTCCCTGTGTGGGTTCTGGGGCCCCATTGTGAGGAAAACACTGTGGGCAATCAGTTCTCTATGTGAGTTAATTTTTTTCCAGACAACATAATTCTTTCTATCCGTGCCAGGGTATTCTCATCATTCGTCTATAAAACCACATCTCTGCAGCTTCCACATAAGTTTTCACCATCTACCAACTGTCCATGATTCACTTCCGTATATCGATACGGGATTTATATAGCTTTTAAGAATTCAACTCAACTTTCAAAGAGAGACTGCATGGAATATTTTTCTTTTTGTAACATGCCACTTTTGTCTGAGCTATTCTACATTTAACTTCTTTAATAAATCTTCCACCTGATGATATCAGGGCACCAAAGTATTTAAACTTATCAGTTTGCTTGAGGTTTGTCCCACTTACTTTGATGTTGCATTTTGGAGGGTCAGTTTTCTTTGTAATTATCGTTACTTCTGTTTTTCTGCTGTTCAAACTAAAACCCTGGTTTTGACTTTGTTACAATTATGTCCATCATTTCTTGCAGTTGTGTTTCATTTTCAGCAATAAAAACTATACTGTCAGGATATCACAGGCTGTTAACAATATGCCCACCAACCAATATTATTGGCACACCATGTTTGGATCTAATTATTTTTTCATTGTATAAATTGAATAAATCGGGTGATAGTACACATCCCTGACTAATTCCTTGTTTAATGCTTTGAAAAGTTCCAATTTCGTAGTCAATTCTTACGGCTACTTTTTGTTGCCAGTAAATGTTTTTTCATCATTTTCAGATCTTTACCATCAATGTTTAAAGTTTCCAAAATTCTAACAATTTCTTCATGTTTCACTTTATCAAATGCTTTAGTGTAATAAATAAAGCGCAAATACAGATCTATTTTCATTTTATAATTTTTTTTCAGAAAGAGTTCTCAAGATAGTAATGGCGCTGTTTGTGCCTTTACCTTAAACAAAACCACACTGCTCTTCTCCAATTAACTGATTAAATTTTGCACCTCATTCTTCTCATTATAATTCTCATTAATATTTTAGTTACACAACTCATTCTCTGATGTACTCCACAATCCACTGCACCTGGCGTTTTCGGTATAGGTATGAGAAAAAAATATTTTAAAAGGTATGTTTCCACTATTATAAATATCACTCAACAATTCTGTCAGAGTTTTAAGAGTTTTTAAGTTTTAGAGTTCCTAGGGCTTTATAATGTGGTGGTTTCGCCTTGCTTTCCACTATCACATGCATTTCATACCTGATGGCAAACTCCACAGCAGTGCCGAATCTGCTTCCTGTAGATCCGGGGCTCATGTTAGAGAACAGCTCCGCAGGTTTGTACATGTCCCCACTGGAAGCCAGCAGGTAGAACAGGGTAGTCAGGAAAATGATCTGCAGAAAGATCAGAGACAACATTTTGAGACAGTCCTTGCATTAAAGGTTTTGTACATGTCCCCACTGGAAAGCAGCAGTTAGAATAGGGTGGTCAGGGAAATGATCTGCAAAAACTTCTTATGTTGTGTTTATGGTCAGTACGAATGGTGAAATTCTTCAATTGCATCTACTTCCGCCTCTTCTTTATCCCCCAATAGAGCTTTTGCCTCAATCAACTCACGCCAAGTGGTTCCATCCTTTGTTCTCACATGTAGCTCACCCCAGGTCTTCCTGATATATTCAACTTCATTTTCTAGTTCCCTTCTCCTTGTGTGTGTGTGTGTTTTTTGCTTGTTTTGTTTTTGTGTTCATTTATTTCTACTTGTGGTTTCCAATTTAAAGCCCTTCTGGTTAACTTATTCTCAAGTTTTCTCTGAACACTGGTGTCTTTTCTTTACCTCTTGATTGACTCAAATCTGTTTAGTTCTCTCCCAAAGATCAACAAAACTGTTGAATTAAAAATCGACACCATACACTTCGGGCACTCCCATAAGTGCTCCATCCCCATCTTCAGCAGCAAGCAAAGAGTTGCATTTCCAACTGCACCAGTAACAGTCTGATTGTATATCCATTCTTGCCTTTCCCTTGAGTGTTGAGCCTTGGCCAGATCTGCTAGTAACTTTTCGCAGCTCCATTATCTTCAGACTGTAATGACATATTTGTGCCTCCACACTGTTCACTTTCCCCCAAACGGCCCTCACAATATCTAGCTTGTCATGCATCAATTCACCATCAAGTGGTGCAGAACCGGCCAGTCTATATGTATGCACATTTCCCAACACACCAACATGACCTGGGGAAAATATCCAAAAGATGCTATCCGGGACCTATGAAGCAATGCTTGACACTGTGCAAGGAGTCTCCACCTTTCTCAACATGCTCTGTGAGTCAGTTACAATTATGACATGTGTGTACAGCTGATTCTCAAACCAGCAAAGGCAGCAGTGACTGCCTCCATCTCCATTCTCAAACTAGACATTGTGATATATACCACTGCACTAAGCGACACTCATTCGCTTTTGCTAGAAACCCCCATGCACTTCGTCTGCCCCTCAACACAGTGCCATCTGTATAGATAATCACATCACATGGGCCGGAATTGTCATGATTCATTTGTTGAACTTCGGATTCTGCAGCACCAGCTGGCCAATCCCTACACCCATGACCCAAAGTGATAAGAACCCTACACAAGTCTGAAACTTGCCAGGACACTTTGACCTACTCCTCTCCTCACATAATTTATAAAGCCTGCACCATGTCTAATTGTGTCTCAGCTTGCATCATCCAAGACATTCCACTTTTCAGTCTATGACCCTACCTAGTGCTTCATACAGGAGGTGCTTCTTGTCTGCAGCTACTCTGAGATGACTTTGCTTGCAGAACTTTGAGCCTATCTGCAATGGTAGGCAGTGCAAGTATATTTCGTATACATACTACCGGGGTATCTCTTGTACATTCAAGAATTACCCACATGGCTTCCTTCTGTATGTGTTAAAGTTCCATTAGTTGACTCTTTGATCTGGTAAGAATTCCAAGTCCATAATCTATTCCCCGAAGCTCACCATTGGTGATTCTATCATTTCCTTTAATTCCCAGAATACTGTGCAGGCACCAGTTAATGAACGTTTATAGTTTATTAGTAAACATTTTAGTTATTCTCCATGTCGCATTTACTAGAATTAATTTTTTTATACAGATTCAAATATGATTTACATTAAAAAAAATTTTTAGTTACAGACTATGAAGCACGAGAAGAAACAATGAAATCCATGGTCTGTTTAAATCACCATTGGCATCATGTGCTTTGAGCAGGTGAGTTTCTAGCTGCTACGCCACTGAGATTCACTCTGAAATCATAAAGGCAGGACAAGTGAATCCTGTCTCAGCTGTGGATTTAAGCCACAAAACTGCACTAACTGGCATCAACACTTACCAACTACTATACCACCACAGCTTCAACTGACCCCCTTATCTCTTCTGAACATTGTTTAAACCAGTAACCATGACACACACAAAAAGCTGGGGAATATCACTACTTACAGCCGAAATAACAAAATTCAAGATGGCCGTCCCCCCTCCAAGTAAGGCGGAGAGGATCGTGGTGATGACGGTAAAGAACAAATTCATGTTGCTCTTGAGAACCATCCATATGGACTCCCAAACCTAAGCAGAGAAATAATTCAACATTTTAAACATCATAGATATTGAACATAACACATTTTGTCGGTCACCCATCATGACTGACCAGGTCCACTTTCATCCAAAGTCGTAATGATCAATGATGGAAGGTGGCTGATTCGTCCAATATGAGCCTGGAAAGTTCTTGAGCAGTGCGGCCATCAGATGGAAGCCGCAGTAAGTGTGGGATTAGCAGTACTATTCTTTCTAGTCTGCCGTTTCTCTGCCTGTGCAACCCATCAACACATATTAACTCTTTAAGGACAGCATTTTTTTTCCCTGCTGTTTAGACAGAATGGGCTTTGAGCTGAATTTTGTTAACTGCTTGTCAGAGACCTACTTTACTATATTCATTTCCTATGGCTCGCTAGGTAGGCCAGCTAACAGACTTCACTACCCTACAACACACTTAAGACACGCACCTGCTGAGTACAAACATAATCTTTAATGTACAACGAACAATACAACTTAATACACTTCAACCGAGCTGGCAGCCCTTATCCGAAACGCCGGCGTTGAGCAGCTTTTACATTCACTGGTCAACCCGAGTCGTTCCCATGGATCCCCAAGGATACGATTCCAAACTAACAGTTTATCAGTGCTGACTAAGCCGCCGTCTATTGCAACGCGGGACTCAGTGACATATATAAGGTGTATGGCCTAAGTGTGACTGGGTAGTGTTACCGCCATTAACAATGCGTGTCACACATTCACTAGCTGCTTAACAAATACTGCGTGGAACGTCTACTATACAAGGAACATAAACTCTACGCTATCTCGTCGAAACATTAAATGGAAACACAGCCTATCTCAAAAATACTAACCACAAACACTATTTAATCTAACCTTCACTAACCTAAGATACGTTTACCTAGTTGAAGCGCTATGTCTCGTCCAGTTCAAGTCCCTACTACACAACCCTCCTCCAGCGAGCTCTCTCCAAGCCTTTTGTTCCCCTCCCGCGTTCATCTCTCGTCACGCGGTAATCTGTGTTAACCGTGGGCCCTGGGCTTAGCCAGTTAACTCGACCCAGTTTATTCCATGGTCAAGCTGCCTGGTCTCACACTGAGTTTTACTAAGTGTCAGCTCGTTCATACGTGATGATTCACTATCATCAACTCCGTTCATCCCGTAGCCATAAGGGTAACAGATTTATCTTAACAATGGTAGATTTATGCTCCCGTTGGGCTGAAGCAATACCACTTTAAAATATTACATCCCAGGATGTCAGTGAGGAATTATTCCATCTGTTTGCTAGATTTGGTCTCCCTGAGACTATCCTATCAGATAGTGGTACCCAATTCATTTCTAAGGCAAAGCAAGATTACACTGAATTGATGGGCATTAAACAAGTGTTCACAAGTCCGTACAACCCTGCAGCGAATAGTGTCTGTGAAAATTTGAACGGAAATTTAAAATGTATGCTTGCAAAGGTGACAGCGGAAAGACCAAAAGATTTGGATCTACTACTGCCAGCAATATTGTTTGCGTATCAGGAAGTACCCCAAAGCACAGTGTTGCCACTTTTCTTTGACAAAAAATATCCAAAACGATGTCAAAAAATATCTAAAAAGATCTATATCTGCGTGGAAAAGATGTAGAAAAAACATCCAAATTGAAAAAGTCAAAAATTACATAGCTTTTGTTATGACTTACCCTACATAATCATGTCCTCACCTTCACTGATGTCTGCCTCACAAGATCCACAGGATAAACTTAGCTTGGATAATGAAGTTGAAGCTTCAGATCCAAAATGACCCTGGTATGCTTTAGCTGTTCAAATTTCTTTATAAGTGGAACAGTAGGCTTATTTCTCTAGTCTCATCAGGCCGAATTTTAATGGCGCGATAGCATTTAAGAGGTTAAATTTCATCCTGTTTTTTAGGTTAGATTTGATATAATTCCTAGCACTGAAAACTCTTTCTATGTCAGCATTTGAGTGGGGTAGTATCATGGCAGACATGGCACTTTAAAGAGCTTACAGAATGGACTGTTTGATGAGGCATCTTTAAATAGTCTCACTTCACTCCAAAACGCTTTAGTTTCTGTTTTGATTGTCCATTTCGCTAACTTTATTTTGGTTAACTGATATTCTGCTTCCGCGACACTATTATCAGTAGCCTTTAAAAATTTCATAACCTTATAAAATTTAGGTATGTCCTTTATTGGCTGAAGTATGTTGCTCAAAGAAAAAAATGAAATATTTTTCAAAACATCTAGATTTTCAGGAAGTCTCTGCTTCAATTGCTTCAATAATGAGATAAGGAAATCTTGCCAGCCTTTTCTTAAGTTGTTCTCTTCATACTCTGTTAACAGTCCTTTTGTTTTTAAATCATCAATTTTTGATTCGATTTAATATCCAAGGTGTGGTTTAGGAGCCAAATAGCTCTCTATAGTGCAAGTGAGCAAATCAGCTTTAGAAGTTGGCAACACAAGTCTTTTACCGAGTGAAATAGCAAGGTGAGATCATCAAGTAATTTAACTTTATCAACAAGTTTAGATTCGAACAGTTTATTAACTTTTTTGCACTTCCATTAGAATAGGTTATAAAAAGAGAATGAGCTGCAATGAATGACGCATACATTTTATAAGTATTAACGATGGGTTAGCTTCCTTCAACTTGGCACAAACGCCATTGTTTATACCAACCATCACTGAGGCATTATCAGTACCAATTACAGCCAAATTCTTCAAGCCTAACTGTTTGCTGATTAAAAGGTCCTTCAGTTCCTAAACTATACTTTCTACGTCACTTTTCAAATTGAACTAGTCCAAGATTTTTTACAAATCGATCAAATGGTCCCAGTTTGAAATTGCGCACTGATAAATTAAAAACATTGCGACTGATACTTCAACTTTTGATGATTCATTTATCAGTATAGTTCTGAAAACAGATGTCAGCGGTGTAATATCTTTAAATGAAACTGCAGTTTAATGCTTTTTTAGTCTCTGCATGACTCTTTGAGTTTTGTATTTTCGCTTTAATTTCACACTTGCAGTACTTACAACAAGCTTTGGTCATATCCCCAGTTTTTAATTTTGTCATCATGCAACCACTCTTTCCAAATTTTTTGCTCATACTTTACTTTTGGCATGTTGAAAGGTTTTTTTTCAAAGTGAAAGTCACATAAGAATGTGAGCAAGTATTTTTTTTAAATCACATGAAAAAGAAACGCAAAGTCAGCACAGTGAGGATACGGTTGAAACAAAGTTAGTATGATTACGCGCGTTTTTATTAATCAGTACCGGGGCTGCCAGATATTTGTGCGTTGACCCCAGTGAGAGTTCAAAATTCAAGTAATTGCAGTTGTCACAATGTACGTGCCAGACCAAAACAAAAATATTGTAGTAAATATTTTACACAGTAATTATTAAATTGACAATGAAAGAAAAAAGATCTATAAAATATCTAACTCCATACGAAAAGAATCTAAAATAATATTTACGATCTAAACGTCAAAAACATTTTCTAAATGCAATGAAAAAGATCTAAATTTGGATATAAAAGATCCAAAGTGGCAACACTGCCAAAGCAGTACTGGTTTTTCACCATTTGAATTAGTTTATGGGGCCACCCCCAGGGGACCATTGTCTATTTATAACGAATTGCTCGTGGGAAAAGTCACAGATACCAAAACGGTGAGTGAATATGAAATGGTAACAAACCTGAGGGACAGAATTAAGAATGCCTGCATCATTGCAAGGGAATCGTTGGAGGAGGCTGGTACCCATTACCGCAAATATGCAAATAAAAATGCCAGAACCATCTCACTCTCTGAAGATGAGAAAGTGTTACTGCTCCTTCCTGAACCAACCGACAGACTGTCCATAAAATTCGGAAGTCAGGCATCATTGCAAAATCAAAACTCCTTTTAATTTCACCGTATCATAGTGAAAAAAAAAATGGGCCCAATGGCATTTGTGTGGATTACAGGAAAAAAAATCCCCTGTACAATCTTACCCCGAACCCAAATTTCCCAAATCCCGAAAAAAATTTACTACCCTCAGGAAGGGAAATATTTTTTAAAAAGCTTGATCTCCCCAAAGGGATTTTTGGGCAAGTGCAAAAATAATTTAGAAAAAAAAAGTTTGCGGGGGAAAAATTCATAGAAAATTCGGGTTTTTTCCCTTTTTTGTCATTTTTTTTCTGCACCAATTTTCTCCAATATGCCAACTACTCCTCAGATATCTTTTTAAAGTGTGAAAAGATAGTCGAAAACAAAATTTTAAAAATTTAGGAAAAAAGTCCCTTTTTGGTTAAACCCGACAGGGACGTGCCCCTTTTGGAAAAAACTCCCAATTTTTGGGGGTTTTTTTGGTATCCCCTTTTTTCCTTTTTGCCCAAAAGTCCAAAATTAAAATGGGGTTTGATAAACCCATTCTAAAATCTAAAAGGGCGATTCAGGGGTAAATAATAATTTTAGAAAAACAAAATTTTGGGAAAATTTTTTAGTTTAAAAACTTTTTCTTTTTTTCATATGCCTTTTTTCCTTTTTTGTCACCAATTTTTCTCCAAAATGCTCAACCCACATCTCTAGAGTATCGCTGAATTTTGCCAAAGATCCCCGAGGAAAAATTTTTAACTTTTGGAAAAAAGTCGGGTTTTTGGGTGAAAAAAACTCGACAGGGCGCCCCCCCGCCTAAGGGGAAAAACTAATTTGGGCAGTTTTAGGCAATATCCATTTTTGCTCCAAAAAGTCAAATTTCACATCTGGGGTTACCTACTTCCCTCTACGTGTCCCCCTTTTATGGGGTAAACGGGATGGGACTCAAAGTTTAAGTGGGATGACCCCCCAAAAAAGGGTTTTTAAAAAATTTTTGTAAAAACGTTGTTTTTTTCCTCATTTTTCCTATCTCCTTGTTTTTCCACCAATTTTTCCCAAAAAGCTAAAAAAACACTCCAGATTACTGGAAGTGTGCAAAAGGATAGCCTGAGCCCAAAATTTTTAACCCTTTTGGGGAAAAAGGTTTTTTGGGAGTTTTTT